TCAAGCGTCTTCCCTGGCTGACACACAACGGCCAGGTGGTAGCTTGGGAATCACAATGCAAGACAGAAGGCAGGCTCGGGCAAGTCTATTCTCTGATGTGACTCTCAATCTAAGCAAGTGAACACTGTAACCACAACAGCTTCATAAGAGTTCTCACAGGAATGGCAAATGGAGAGTCAGCAGAGTCCAGAGAATGCAGACAAAAAAAAATTCTGTCTGTTTTTGCTTTATTTTATCAGACCGGCCAAAAACACCCTTCCCATCTCTAACTTTGCTACAATGAAAACCCTTTCAGCAGTTCTTTGTTGTGGATTCATCCTGATGACTAGGCAGAAAATCCTGATGTAAAGCAACAAAATGCCCGTGGAAGGTACTGTATGTAATGTGGAAATTAAGAATGGAAATACCAAAGGATACAGCCTTGTCCGGAGGCAATCTTGAGGACTTCCAAAGCTTGGAAGCAGCCCATTATCCCTGGAACTTAAAGAAAAGTGGAACATTTTATTAACAACTATCATTTACACAGACTGTACTCTGTACAAAGTTAATGGTTTCTGCGCACGTAAAGGGACGAGACTCACCCACTCCTAATACCCCTCCGTCAGAACAGTTGGTCACTGTCTCTGGGGGTGGAGGTACGGGGTACAGACATCTGTAGCAGGGGCCTCCACAGTAGTTATATACTGTCAGCTACACACATAGAAAGCAAGAAGGATTTTAAGCAGGTAAAGTAACACTAAAAATCTAGAGGAGCTGTTAGACTCTTGCCACACTGATGCAAGAACCTTACCTGCCCCTCCATTCTCAGGGCACTAGCTGACACCAGAGGCTTGCCACTGAGCACACATGCGTCATTCACCAGATAACGAGTGGGGACATTGTCTGAACAATCAGCCACAATGTCATATATGAGGTCAGCAAAGTCAAGGTGTCATCACAAACGGAGTTCAGATTATCAGTTAGTCACATGTACACATTTCCCAACTGAATATCAGATATCCTCTTCATCAAATATAAGCAATCATAGGCCTGCATAAGACTTAGTGGACGATGAAATAGAAGTAAGATAGAAGTCCTGACAAAGGATTAGCTAGTGGCAGGTCTTTGTAACAGATGGTTACAGTAGGTTGCGGGTTTCACAGCAGGATACTGTTGAATGAGTTGCAAGGCGTTCTCTGGTGAGAGCTGCAGGTGGTAGGGAATACACTCTACTGTCGAGTTCAACCTGCAGACATGAAGTCACATTCAAAAAAAAAGTTTTAAAATATAAATTTTGGTCCTCCTTAATCAGCAGCATCAATGCAAACTAGTTAGAATTTCTATCAAAATCTAATTTTCAGCCGAACAAGGAACAAACTACAAAACGGCAAACATGTGAGTTTTGCATCTGACATGGGACCTTAGTCACATATGTGTGGCAGTGCAACTAAGCACGCTTTAAGTAGTTTGCTAGTCAGAGAAATGGCTCCCTCATGTGGTTGTGGCTATACAATGTGTGCGCTAACCACAGTAGGCCCACTGTGAGGGAGAAAGGCACCAAAAAAAGCTGTCTCTAAAATAACATGTTTACACAATATTTGCAGACTGGGGTGAAATACACAACCAAATATAACCTGTGGTGAGACTGGATAGCGCCAGCATGCATTATACATCAACCAAAGGGTCACAAAAAAACATAGACATGCACCAATTATCATAGTTAGGGTTACAGAACATTTACTAATGATATCAAAATACTAACTTCTCAGTTCCAGGTCTGTTTGTGCAGGAATACGTTTGTCACATGCTCTCATACACTTTTGTTCTGCTAAATTATATAAATGTGCTTTTGACCTCTATGTACCGTACACTACTCCAGTGTGTGCAGGCGCCAATCAGTACCTTTTAACTGCATTGGCAGCAGACAGAGCCTTGGCCTGGCCCTGATTCTGCTCCCCATGGAGCACCTGTCTGTGCAGGTTACTGAGCTCCACCTCGTCATAATCCAGTAGGCCCAGGCGCCCTGCAGAGACACCAAGACAAACAAGAGTCAGTCAAAAAGGCTTTAGAATAAATGTTGAAACCATAGACTGTATATAAAAAGGTCGAAATCTGAAAATGGTGGAGAGCCATGAAGATTAAACGCTATAACCAGGGTACAAATATCCAAAGTGTGCCTTCGAATGGAGCTTTTTATAAATAGTTCTTGTTAACGACCTTTTCTCAAATTTTGTATCTGCCAGCCACTGAACACATTCAGGGACTCTGCCCTTAAACAGTAATCTTATGTTACACCGACTCTACACAAACTTCTTATACCCCTTTAATTAGTTTTATTTGTTTATTTCAGTTTTCCCCAATTAGTTATACAGAAAGGTGCAGTGAAACTTCATCTGAAGCAACAGGTAGTATAATTTTGACTGCAAAAGGAAAACATATTCACAGAATAAGTAAGTTATTCTGTGATTAAATTAAAAGTTGTAAACATACTTAATATACAGTCTTCTTACCTAAGCTTTCCCAGTGTACCTGATTTTATTCATTAAACAGCACTGAAATAGGCAGTGTGATATATTTAGTTTGGAAATGTAAATGAATGATTATGGAAGCAATCATCTCCCCAACAGGTAAATTTATTCAGTTTACCAGCCAATGGGAAGTGAGCTAGATTGCTAATTTTAGACCCCGCCTAAAGGAAAAGACAAACCATTGACAGCTTAACAATTACTCGCCCGTATTACCAAATGTAATTCAAAGACAATTATAGAAGGGTTATGATTTGACATGTTTAGCACAAGGTCACACTAAGCATTAATCAACAAGATTACCTACCAATACCTGCTGCTGCAAGATACTGTGCCAGGGGGCAGCCCAGTCCTCCACAGCCCACAATCAGCACTGAGGTCTTGGCTAAGTTTAGCTGACCTGTGGACAATCAAGATTCACTCTGTTGTGTTCAGTCATGCCATAAATTTCACTTGATAGAATGTTAACTGTATTGTATATCAGAATAACACTGTCTGTAGCCGTCTGTACCTTGTGGACCCAGCTCAGGCAGAAGGAGCTGTCTGCTGTACCGCATGATGTCCTCATTGCTGAGGGCTGGTTTGGCTCTCAGAGGGCTCAGGGGCGTCACTTTGTCATACAGCTCCAGGACTGAAGTATGGCTCTGATATCACACCAGGGAGGAATTATTACACAACATATAAGAAATGTTCAAGTTTCAAAGAGGAGCTTTGATCATGAGGCATCACAACCCTCAACAATCTGCCCTTTTAATATAATGACCTACATTTTTATATCTCTTTACATACATCTACAGGCCATATGTCTGACATAAGGAGCTATATGGGAAAAGCTCTTCACAGGGAGGGATTTAAGAGGTGTATAGTGTGTTTATTTAGCATTTAAGATTTAATTAGTTAAGAGTACTCTATTTCTTTTGAAAAATGCAGATTTAGTTTAGGACATTTCAAAATGCCTGTTTTTCTAATTTTGTTCTCGCATTTGTGAGTTTTTTCCTGTTTGCATTGATTTATTTGTTAGCTCAGAATCATCTGAATCAATTAATATAACACTGCATTCTAAGATTAAATTTACACACTCTTGTATACGTTTCTATGCTTTTAACAGCATTAAGGTACAAGGTACAAATCATGGGTGTTGTGTGATTACCCCCAGTATTTGAATAATTAGACATATTGTCCTCAGATGTACATAATCAATTGACCAATTCTAATTTTGTGCTCATCATTTACCCAGCACGTGTAAATGTGGATGTGTGGGTGACTCCTGATGGCTGACATAAGGAGCTACAGTGTCTCTATGTACTGTATATCTTCTGTCATGTATCTCTGCTCTATTTCATATTACAGAGGACATTTCTGTTTAATCTTTCCTCAGCTACACACATTCATCTTCATGACAAGTAGGCATTTCACTAGCTAGCCAACAAGCTAGTTAGCTGTCTAAAAAAAGTGTCCAGGTTAGTGTTGGGTGTAATGTTATCAGCGTCAAACGTGATGTTTTGTTCAATGACAGCCTATAAGTAATGTTTGCTAACGTTATAGACTAGTAGGCTATAAAAATGCTAAAAGGTTATAGTAACATAATAGCTAGGTTAGCTGCACTATAAATGTTAAACTACTAGATAAAAAAAGAGGCAAAACACATTTCTATATACACAGCCTGCAAATTTGGACTAATAGAGTTGACCTCTTGTAATAAACTTTGCTTAGCATTCAGTAAGACTTTCGTACCTTTTCCAGTTGTGCCAGTTTACTCTTCAGAGCAGCAATCTCTTTCTCTTTTTCCTTGAGCTTTGCCTTCAAGCAGCACACCTCTTGGGCCATGGCTGCTGGCACAAAGAAAACACGTGCAGTTGCAAAATATATATATCCAGACTATGTATCAAAAACGATTCAACAATTCTGATTTAGATGCAATGTAACTGTGGGACAGGAACATGTTGACATGTGAAGCACACGGCACAAACTTCCGGGTTGACCATGTGACAATGTGACCACGTGATAGGTGAAGTAATAGTCTTTTCGTCAGAGTAAAACAAATAGCCTATTAAATAAAGAAACTAAGAAACTACTATTTAATGCTGTGATTTACTCTGAGAAAAAAAGAGAAACGAAAAAGAGAATTTACCACAATAAAGCTTCCGTACATTGCACAAACATCAAAGAAAAGCACTAGTTCCCCTAAGTATCTGCAAGAATTTTATCTTAAAAGATTTTTCGAATAGTTGTTGTTTTTTCTTGTTGTTTTGTTGTTAAATATTAAGCTCGTATTATATCGTTGAGCAGCAATAACAACTGACCTCCAGGCGATAGCTATGCTGTAAATCTGTTGTTCTGCTGTTGAAACTGAGCAGTTATCAAAGGAATATAAAGGGTCACTATGTCAGAATTGTTCACAGAGACCCACGTGGTTCACACGCACACACACACACATGCACGCACACATAGCAGTATAGTGACGCGCTGTGGTTTAGAGAGCCTCGGGTCCTCCCTCCTGCCTTTCACATGATCTGTAAGCTTTCACAGAGGAGAGACAGGAATGTGGAGAGGAGCGTCAACAGCGATGGCTGAGCGAAGCCACAGTCCCTCTATAATGCGTTTATTTTACACTCTGGCCATCTGGGTGTCATTTATCCACTGCACCAATGGAATACCCTGGACACAAGAAAAGGTAAATAAATAAAGAAGATCTGACATTTTGTGTCTTAACATAATGCCAGACAGTCATAATTGTATATTTAGACACGTCTCCAAAAGAAAAAAAATGTTTTGCCACATGCAGCGTTTTTACAGTTGAATCGTCAAGTAGCCTACTTTTTCAAGATAAAAATTAATGCTTGCAATTGTTGATCATTATCATAACTCCAAATATCTGGTTTACTTTTAATTTTAAAGTATCTGATCCTAAGACCTTGAATTGTTTTATTAGAAAAATAATTTAATGAAATTCTGTTTAAATTGTGTCTCTGTGTGTGCATGTGTTTCTTTTTAAGATCAGCAAGTACTAACACTATTCATTATGAGAAAAAGGAAACTTTAAGTTCATCAAGTTTTGATATATATGATATATGAATGTATTTATTTATGCTATTCCAACAACCCTCTGCACTGCTGTGTAATCCCCAGAGATGCACCTGGGTATGGATGGATCAAGTTCCCCAATCTATGTTCTTCTTCTCCTTTCCTCTTTGCCTGGTTGCTATGGCAGCAAAGACATCATCATTGATCCTCCAATTGCAGGTCTTGGTATTTATAGACCTTAAGTGGACCCCCTTTTAACCCTCTCTGAACGCAGTGTGCCCCAGCTCTTTGGATAACTGTATTCAGTCTGTGCGGCCGCATAATTATACCGTTTGCAGTGTACGCAATCTGTAATTACAGGACTGATCTGTATGACTCAGACAGTATGGGCCCAACTCAAGCCACAAACAGGTTTATGCTTCGATTGTAATGAACTGGGTTAAGGAATGTGCCCTCCCTCTTTGTCCAAGACAGTAAAGTGAAAACAAATTAGGAGGAAGAACTATTTTCACTATTTTCTGACATTTTAAAGACAACAACATAATCGATTATTGAAATATGGATTTCAAAACCTCAATTTCAGTCACATTGCCAATTAAGGACTACCAAGTGGGCCTATTACTGGAGAGGCTGGAGCAGTGTACAACACACAAACGGGCTTTGAGTGTGCTCTGATATTCACCGTCAGCTCTTTCCCTCCGGCTCTCTGTCCTTCTTCTCGGTTCAGTTTGTTACCAGGACAACCATGCTTCTCAGCAGGTGAACTTTGAGACCAAATGAAAAAGAGCCAAAGGGGATCAATATGTTTTTTAACCTGTGATTTCACACGCATTGATTTGACACTCAAAACTTGAAGCCTGAATCCACATCCATCTTGTCGTTCCTTAAATTTGCACAAACTAGTCGAGTTTTGACAATCGTGTCTATTTCCCAGAGCAAGAGAGAGTAGTAGCATAACAACAAGAACCATTCACGTTTCTGCCTCTTTATTCAATAGATGCCTGCTTTTCTAAAGTAGCTCTTGTGTGTGTTTGAAGCCATTCAATCATTGTGTATTCACATTGGTCTAAATGGCTCTTGTGTCTCTCCCTGAGGAGGTGCTAGAGTGAACTACACAGCTCATCTAAAACACAATATTTGATACTTACTAACTTATCACAAGATCAAATTGTTGTTGTGTAGGTGAGAGTACTGCTGGCACACCTAGTGAGTGGTATTATGAGACATTGTTGTGACATGCTAAAATCATTTGTTCTGTATGCTATGTGTCATCCACACTGTTGCTGCATCATAATAAGACTTCCCCTGATTCCGATCAACAAGTGAGAAGTTGTTGATCTGAAACAGTGCCGTGGCAGACACTGACTGACAATATGAGTAAACATTGCTTCATAATATTCTGTATCACAAACAACACTGATGTGATTAACTGTAGATCACAGTGATCTAATCATTGTACTGATCTTTACCAGCCATATGATTACCTTGCAGTAGTCTTTCTGAACACGGTTAATTCCTTTCTAAATATTAACCTAATGCTATTTCTCTTCCATTTTGTATTATCTTGTTTGTTTCTTCTGGTTCTGTTCAGCTCCACCATCGAGCTCTCACTCTAACACAAGATGAGGTCCGTACCGCCCTATCGCACACTGACGTAGAGCAGATGTGGCAGAGGGACCTGAGGCCGCTGCTGGTCACCAGGTACCCTGGCTCTGCAGGCAGCCGGGCCGTGCAAGAGGTGAGTTTGTTCGCAGGATAACATGTCATTGCCAGACCACTTTCAAATACAGGAACAAAACATGTACCTTCTCCACTACTACCCATTAAACATGCGCTGTGTCATGATTCACAACTATTTGACAATGAATTCCAAGAAACATGTGAAAATCCTGTTACTTTTACCTCATAATTATCCTCGACATTTTTTCCCCAATATGTTGTTTCAGAAGAAATCCAAACAATTCAGGAAGTTCTCACAAAATGAAGTTTCATTTCTGAAAAATCAGGAAGCAACAAGCATAAATCTGGAATTTTTCTTTTTCACAAATTCACTTGCCAACTCAGCTAATTAGCGAAGTGGTGATAAGGTGAGGTACTAACAAGTAATTTTGTGCGTGTTCACAGCATATCAAAACAACCCTAGGTTCCCTCGGAGCAGGCTGGGATGTGACGGAGGATAAGTTTGTTTCACAAACACCCTATGGCCCCCTGCCCTTCACTAACCTAATTGGCACCCTCAACCCATCAGCCAAGCGCCGTCTGGTCCTGGCCTGTCACTACGACTCCAAGTACTACCCACCACAATGGCACGGGAGGGAGTTCCAAGGCGCCACTGATTCTGCCGCTCCCTGTGCCATGATGTTGGAGCTGGCACGAGCCCTGGACGAAGAACTCATGGCTCAGAAGGTGGTGACCTAGCATGTGACATAAAGCTACAACATACTATAAGTTAAAAAGGGTATATTTTACGCTACTGGTCTATCTGTCTGTCTGTGTTATTTAAATAGGCTTTTCAGTGATAGTCAGGCCATTTGGGGGGTGTATTCGTTTTGGTGCTTGTGGCCAGCACTGACTTGAGTTGTGGCCATGAATCACAGGCAAGTCATACAACAACAACAACACTAGTGACAGCTCCAGGAAAAACAAGGCCAAACATGTGGTAGACAACACCAGTTCCAGGAACTTGGTAAACATCACTGTAGATTTTCTCCATGTCACTCAAACATGAGAAACGAAATCACTCCGTGTCAAGTTATAAATTTTGAGTGGGTAAGAGGAAAGAACGTGGTAGTAACAACACATTTCCAGGGTTTTAAGGATTAATAAACATTGCTGTGGGACTGACCTTAAAATAAACTACAGTGCCCATGTTAATGAAGGAACATGTCTCCCAGTGCAATGGTATGGCTCACTGATTGTCAACTGACAACTGTCTTGGACAACAATGGACCTCCATTGCACAGATGAATATTCTAAATCATGTTTCAGCTACTCAGAAATCAGTTATTAGTAGGTTCAATTCATTGTTCGTTTTAGGTATTTCTTGACAATAAGAAAAATTTTGCCAGCCTTATCTATGAACTGTTTTCATTGAGTCAGTCAGTAAGAGCTTGATGGTTTTGATAAATAGAAGAACAATGTGCATATCACTTTGTATCTGAAGGCCTAAGGAAATTCTCTAAATCTAAATATTTTTTCATATTAGGTCTAACAACAACAACATAATTATCAACAACAACAACAACAATTTAACATTTTGCAAAAGCTATAAATATTGGTTCTGTTTTATTAACAAATTCAATGTTTAATCAATGTTTAAATACTCCACCTAAAAGTGATTCAGAAGGAAAACACTTTGTATTCATGTAGCTTGCTCTTCTGCCCTTTTCCTGTTTCACAGTTGAGCTCAGACCCTTGTCTACTGGGCGGACAGTGACAGGGCCAGTGACAAGGAGAGATCCGCCAAGGGACATGTTTATCAGACTCAGCTGTCTGCCACAGAGGTCACTATGGGAATTGGAATCACATTGAATACAAATAAATTAACTGCCATGGAGGCGGACACATAATCGATTTCAGAGCTGATAAGTGACCATTATAGAAGTACATTTTTTGGGAAAGTGATACAAAGCCAAAAAATCAAATACATATTCCACAGAAAACCTCAGTTTTTTGTCACTGTAATCTCAAAACCAGTAGGGGGCAGCAATACTCTGGCAATGCAAACTGGTGTAGCACATGACTGTCCTCTTTTTACCCCCCATGTAGAGCTCCAGTCCTGACCTGACCCTGCAGTTGCTCTTCTTTGACGGAGAGGAGGCTCTTTTCCAGTGGACCTCAACAGACTCCCTGTATGGCTCTCGCCACCTGGCCCAGAAAATGGAGACCACCCCACACCCTGCCGGCGCCACAGACACCAACCAACTGCACGGCATAGTACGCCTTTCACTCTTCTCTGCCCAAACCACCTAAGATTAGCGTAATCCAATAATCACACTTAAGATCATCCCTTTGTTATAACAATTTCAGTACAATCTGCTTAGCCCTGATCTCCTGATTCACACATAGCCCACACAGACACCCTAGCAAGGGAGGTGCATGTCTTAAATAGTTTTGTATTTCCAGGAAATCTCAAATCACAGAGCCGCCCGTTTTATCATCTGGGAGGCTCGGGTGTCCTGATATCAAACACCATTTATTACACAGTCTATGATAACAAGATGTCACGTTAATTGGTATATGTTTATGTGTCCTATCTGTGGAGAGATAGTGCAACTGTTTATCAACAAATGTAGACATTCCTGTGTGGACAGACAGATAAAGCAGTAGGATCCTAAAGAACCTAGTGTGTGCATGTGTGTACGTGTTTGCATGTAGAGACAGACAGACAGTGTGTGTTTTGAGTGTCTTGCAGAGATAGCGTGCACATGGAGAACTGATGTTAGGGCTCTGAGGTGTGATTATTGTGGGAACGGCTCTGAGGTGTGATTATCATGGGAACGGGACTTATCTTCAGGATGTGTAGAAAGTTTCTCATGAGAATACCCCCCCTCCCCTCTCTTCCCCCCGTTTCTTCTCGTCCAGGATCTGTTTGTGTTGTTGGACCTGATTGGGGCTCCAAGTCCACGCTTCGGCAACCAGTTCTCCAGCACAACGCACTGGCTCTCCCGACTGCAGAGCATTGGTAAATAATCAGATGTTTTACTCTTATTGTAAACACTATGTTGGTCTTTTTACTTTGGTGAAGGTATCATTGTAAGGAGGCCATGTGACAACTGTGCTTACAATCAAATTATTGCACATTTTGTCACACTGTATCTTTAACTTATATGCAACTCGTATGTTGTCACGGCTGCACGGTATATTTGTTTTGCTTAAAGCTGCAGTTGGCAACAATTGAACGTACAATGCAAAACCTTCTTCTCTGCTGCTCGTATCACTTTGCAGAGCCCCTCCCACCAAACCCACAAGTTCGTACAGTAGTAGAGGGAGCCTGTTGCTCTACGAAACCTCATGCCCCGTAGGGCTTTCTCTCCACTGCGAGAGTCTCGCCAAGACCCGAGGCCCTTTCACTGCAAATCATCTTCTCAAAGGCGCCCCTCTAACTCTTCGCGGCCCAGGGTACTGCGCCCCAGGCTTCAGAGGCAGCTCCGACAACGTCTGACAGCAGTATGAGAGGCTAGCGCACCACTGTCCAACCTCTAAAATTATGTCATTGCCGCAGGTTGTTTCTCAGCCAGTGAGTTTGCTAAAGTTCTGAAGCCACGCGTTAAAGATATTGGTCTTGACTGAGTGAGAGCATCTGTGAGGAGGGCGGCTGTGCAGCGTGTGACACAGCATTAGAGACTCCTCCAGACGCTGATTGGTTGCTTTGACTCGGGAGTGGTGGATTCTTGCAAATGGTATTAGGAGCCAGAGGACCCTACTTCTTTTAATATTATTAATTTTTTTTTTTTACAGCTTGGATGTCTCTACTGTTGTCAGGATATGTAGGGACAGTTTTAGCAAACATGACAAAAGAATTCCCTAATGCTGCTTTAAATTGCTGATATTTTATTATATTTATGCAAATGTTAGACTAGTCTGGGTTATTTAACAGGACAGATATCTGTATGGGTGTTCTTATCCTTGCTTTTTGCACTTTTTTAAGTGGCTTTTTTGTGCACCAATCAGGATTTAACAAAATTTGAACCTGATGATGATGATGATGATGATGGGGTTGTTTATTGCCAGCACTGTCAATCAAAACTGACCAAGCCACACCCACACAGTCCTAACGAAGCAAATAAGCTAATAATAGAATATTTGATTTATTACACTATTATTAAACAACACCTAAGGATGTTTTTTCTTTAACTTGAACTAACAGATGCACTTTTTTACTCATTGTCCTCACTCTCATATCCTCAGAAAAGCGTTTGCACTCCATGAACCAGCTTGTGGATCATCCTAACGACGTGCAATATTTCTGGCCCAATCAACCTGTTGGCCACGTACAAGATGATCATATACCATTCCTAAACAAAGGTATGCACGCCAAATAACACTGCAACCGTAAATATGATGACATATATACTGTTGGGTGATCCTCATCCTATGCCTCTCTGTCAGGTGTACATATCCTCCACCTTATCCCCTCCCCCTTCCCGTCCGTATGGCACACGTTTGATGACAACGAGCAGAACCTGGATCGCTCCACCATTCAGAACCTCAACAAGATCCTGCAGGTTTTTGTCCTGGAGTACCTCAACGCCAGACCCAACATCCCTTCAAACCCACAGAATGCCCCTTAGAAACCCAGCATATTTGATGACTTCCTTTCTTTTGATGTTTCACTGTAGCCAAGATCTTCAGCTGTTATTTTATAGACTGAAAGAATACACTGTCTTTAATGATATTTGTTAGAGATTGATTTCATCTGCATGGACAAGTACATTTTTTTATTTTGAAACCTCTGTCTAAACATATTTAGGCTCATGTAAGAGCACGCAAAATGTGTTGTTTCCCAAATGGGTTCATAAGAGACTTAAAGACTCTGAAGCTTCATCCCCAGCAACGTGATCAGCACACAGGATCTTCTGTGTGCTTGTTACTACACTGCTCTCTTTATATCAGCCTTAACCCCCTGTTTACACTGTGAGGAGGCATCTTAGTGTCAGTGCTAATGTTTAGGAGCTGTTGCCTGACATTGAAATAGATACATGAAATTATCATCCAAGGTTGGTGATAATTTCATTGTCCTTGCTTTGAGGACATCTGTAGCCTAAAAACACTTGCTTATAGTCATGCAATGACATCCATAATCCCTGATCTGTAATAAATATATAAAATATGGACATCCACATGATGCCACCAATGCATGCAGAATGAGGCAGGGTATATGGCAATACACATAAGATGGTGTCATGCTGTGTGTCTTAGCTACAGGGTATGTGACATTTCTTCTCCTACAGTAAATCTGTGTTTATCACATCAGTGTTTATCGAGAAAACCTGTCAGGGGCAGGAAGTGGGTTTATTTGTATTACAACCTCTTTAGCTCTTCATATCCTGTCATCTCAGATAGTGAAGTGGATAACTTCCTGTGCTGATGTTTCACGTGCCTCCCTTTGTTTATATGACATTATTAGTAAGATTTAAATGCAGATCCCAGAATAATATACAGTGCCAAAACTGGACTTCCTGTATTTTGAGGCTGAAATAAATGTTGATTCAGAATACAAGGGCGATCATGCAGAGTTTGTTTATCTTTACAAGTCTTTGTTATACTGCTGATACAGAAGTTGGACTTCTCCGATGCTTTGTCATTCTGATGATTTAAGGTGACCTTTTCTATGAGGAAGTGTTTTTCTGTAATTGTAACCTAAGACAACAAGAATAGCCAATACCTTTCTTTCTTCCAGTTTTGCGTCTGGTGCTCAGGTTCTTGCTCCCTCTCTCACCCCCTCCATCCCTCTGCCTCACAGCGACAACAATCCCATGATACACCTAATCCTCTCAGGGAAGACCTCCCCTGAATTCCACACCACCCAGATCCCCTTAAATCCAGCCCACTCCCATGAGAACTAAACATGACTCTGACTCTCCCGTTTATTGCAGTAAGAAGTGTTTGTGATGCCTGGCAACAGTGTATACCAACATACTGTATATCTTGCCCTGAAAGAGATTAAAAGTGCTTTAAAGGCAGTTAGCCACCTAAGACAGCAAAGTGCTGTGTAGTTTCAATCCAAAAGCTGAGAAATCAGTGTCCACCAGCCAATAGCACCCATTCTACAGTGTGTTTTAATGCTTTACCTGACTTGACCCCAACCCTAACCGGTGGTAAAACGTTATTGACCTGCAGTTCTTTATAGAAATACATTTGCTTCTTTTTTGTGTTTGTCTTACAGTAAATGTGCTAATAACACTCATCTTCTTTCATTCTTGTTTCTGTCAGCTTGATGTTAGGCTTTCTATAAAAGCTTACCTCAGGCATTCTGCCTGTCACTCATCACATGAATTATGTGGTTATGATATAGTGAAGAAGATGTCTTTAATGAACTTTAATCTAAGGAAAGGACTCTTATTCAAAATATGTCTTGATTCAGCCCAGCCAGCTGGCAAACCAACATGTTGGAACAAGGAAAAATAAGAGAAGCAGAACAAATTATTGTATAGCACTTGTTGAGGCTTCCAGTATTTTTTTGCCTGACAGCAAATTGATGCGTGCCCAGGTTTAATAACAGCAGAGCTTTAATCTGCTTCTGATTACAGTGCAGAATATACAACGGCTTCCAGCTGTACAGTAATGGAGTAATGGGAAGAGCCGGGATTCTCCCATGCAAGGTGTGTTTCAGATTGTTAGAAAACAATAAGCCAGGAAAGGTTACTTGATGTCAGAAGCCATAGAGGCAAAGAACAACATTTTTGATCAAATGTATCAATTCTTGATGGTCATCCATCACATATTATCACTGTCATGAGAAAAACACACTCCAAAAGGCTTTAAATGGCTTTCTTTCAAGTTTAAACACATAACACATGTTTTTAACATTTCAACAGTGTCATCTTACTGTTCAGAAAAACAAATTAAGACAAAAAAGTATATAATTCTGACTGGGCATCTTAGGTGGCAGTGAATTGATTCTCCTCTGTAGCTGGGAAAGCTGTCTGACTTGTTTTTAGCCTACAGTCACTATATTAATGGATTGTAGATGTTTTTTAAATTTGCTACTGAGATAGTATACAATGTGAAGCATTACTGTGAGCATGTATGGTAGGCTACCAGTATCGGGGGTTGTAGGGCATCCTGCTACTACATGACCTGCAAAGAAGCAAGTTACCAGCAGAGAGCAGCAGTGAGTTACATTCACTTCAGCGGAAAGAAAAAGGCTCTGCTGTTCCTGGTGTTTTTCTTACATGATATTATATATTGGTGACTGCAAATACGATTTAACAAATTCAGCTGATATCGCTGATATAACTGAATGTCATATCAGTCAGTAAGGCATCAGTATGTTATCACCCATAAGTATAGACAACTAAAGATGTTTAATATACACATTGTGCAAAAATATTTGTACTGATATTTTATTGTGTTTAAAGTATGTTGACATATTTACATATAATCTGTGTCCTTGCGTCCTAGTTTCTTTATTTTTTTTAGCAGTTTATAAACTGGGAGGCACACTGTTTGATATGTACTCACCTCCAGTTTCAAATGAGGGCGCTGGACACACAGAAACTACCAACATCATACGCTACATTCGTGTGTTCTCCGTAAAGTCCTACTTCTATTTCCCATTGTGTAAATACCATCGACTGTTTTTTTTATTGTTAAAAATTACAAAACTGGCTGTTACAAAAAAATAATCGAAAAAGAGTTGCTTTGACGGAAAATGGAGAAATGCATTATGGTATAAATTTGTTTTGATAAGAGTGCTAAATTGTGAAATTATCCATACATATTTAGTCAAATAAAAATATGAATAAAATGAAAAGGACATAAGCTATGAAATGTTTCCCGTTTGTCGTTGTCTGCGATAATCATGTGATCCATGCGTGCTTTGCATAGACTGGATATTAAAAGGTGCTTTGTCGTTATTTTGCGCCCAAAGTGAATTACTTTCCAATATTCCCAGCAGCACTTGAATGCAGCATTGATCCTATAGCGGGCGGTGAGGCGCTGTGGGGGATTACAGTCCAGCCTCCGCTCGCGGGGCCACAGAGTTTTGTAGTGAGTGAACGCAAACGGACGAACAGCACCGACCGGTTGAGAAGAATGTGACGGCAATTTTTTTTTTTCACTTTACATTGTAGAACCGAGTCGCCAAACTCTGACACATTTGTGTCCCTTTAATTGTGTTAAAGAAGCAATGGAGCCGATAACGAAGTGGACGCCAAAGCAAGTGGTCGACTGGATGAAAGGTAACCTGAATTCTGGGACACTTTGTGTGTAACATTATTACATGTTTTGTTTGAAAGACACAATAGCCCATTAACGGCGTTACTGCTTTTAAAAACTTATCTGTCTCACCTCTGAGTCGCACCTCAGTTATCTCGAGCTAGTTTCGTAGAAACTGCTCCGGTGTCAGCATACCTCTAACTTACTGAAGCACTTAACAATGGGACTGAATTTTTCTTTTACTCTTCCTTACAGATGTTAGCAAGCGTAGCAGTTTCATTTGTGCTAGCTGTATAATCTGCCCTTTGATACGGCTGGTAAATTGCTGCTCATTGCAACTTTTGAATTGTGTTGTGTGTGAGTCTATGTATTTTGTTGAGTCACAAGCATTAGCTGACTCCCAACACTAACGTTTTGCTGTCACATTAGGCAAAGAAATGTTTCATTCATGCCCAAACACACTGGCTACCACTCGTTTCTATGTCAGAAATCGAGAAGTCAGTAACACGGCAGACCACGGATTCCTGTGTGGCAGAGTTGTATAAATTGAACTAATGAGAAATGACAGTGAGCACTCTTTTCAAAGTCTGTATACCCAGTCATTCTTTTTAGTTAAGCAATACTGATGTGTAACCAGTACTCATTTTTAATGTTGACCTCAGTACTGAAATCATTGTCTTGGTGTTGCAAACTTGCTCCCTTTTGAGGAATCCAAAATGATTGGAGCTCTATCAATCCTTTTTTGCTGTTTTTGGGGATCTTATCTATTAAAAACTATACCTGTTTGAGGCACTGAGGGGAAAGCCTATGGTCATGACATCATTACAGTTTCAGCCTGAGTCCAGTCACAGCATAAGCATGTCTAGTGAGTGACACCAAATGGTATGTGAAGTATGGATGGAAATATTCAAAGTGCTTTCCGTGTGTGTGTATTATACAGCAAAAGGAGTAATGGGCTGTTTATATGGCCAGTAGTGGGACTGAGCTGTATGTCTTTGCTTCACTGTCAAGGACATGTAAATATTATTTCACTTAATTTCATATCATGCACAAACCTGGCACATTGCACATATTTGTTGTCAATTGTTAATTGTTGTTGTTGTTCTATATTCTTAAATTGTCAATTTATGTACACAATTCTCTTCCGTTGCAATACGTCTGCACAACACAAACCAGAGTAAAGCAGAAGTAAATATCTGCCACATTGTTCTTTCTCTGCAAATAGTTGTTATTTTTCTCTATTCTTTTATTATTCGTATATAACTTGCATTTGGTTATTCCATATTTATATATTTCTACATTTATTTATTTTAACTGTATGTCTACATGTAGCACCTTATCATCAAAGCAAATCCCTCGTATATGTAAAACACTACTTGGCAATAAAGCTCCTTTTGATTCTGACATTTGGAAACTACCCAAAACAAATCATAGGCGACTTTCTTTTTAATCTCATAATTTGGATCTCAAGGCAGGCTCTTTTGTCAGTACTGGAACTATGACGGTGTTGTAGCGCAGTAACTGCTGATTGGGGCATGCCAGCCAGTGCTAATCTATAGTTTGGAGCGAAAGGGGATTGTGGAGGGGTTAGTTTTAGTGTGTCCAGTGAAAACAGCTCCGCCAGGGCACGCATGGATGGAGGATTAGTTGTCCACACAGACCCCATTGCTGTCATTCTCCTGTAAATCTGACTCAGCGGTTGTCTCTGTAGGTCTTAACCAGTAGATTTGCAGGCCATTACAAACATGGTAGAAATGAATTAACTGAAAAGACAGCAGACTATTTGTGGGAATATTTTATATATCCCTTTCACATACAAACCCAGTGCATGAACAAGAGATGTTGAACACAGGTTCAACTTACATTTGACCATTCACACCAAGTATGGGTAAATATCAAGTCATTCTGTCTTTGTCAAACAGGGTTGTCATGAATTTATCTTAATCAAAAGTGGCCAGTCGTGATTCAACAAAGCAGATTACGCAGGCTTGGACAGTCATCTCCAAAATGTAACTTTCCTCACCGTGGTCTAGCAAGGCTAAATAGCCATTTGCTTTGGTTAGACGCGCTGTCAATGGGTGTAGACTACAATCAGTTTACAAGAAACTGGATCTGACTTTAAGCAGTCAGAGCCACAAAATAAAGCTCTCAACTAAAATTCAATAGAGCACTTCTGGTTGCTATCATTTAAACCACTCAACACATTATTGATTGGTCTGACCTCCAACTGCTGGGTCAGTCAAGCTAAGTTATTGAATGTTTTCAAGACTAATATCTTGAAGTAAAACCTGCCCGCTATAACATAAAAGGTACCTAATTTGTCCTTGCCAGGGTATTTTATTC